GCACGAGGGGCACCCCCCTCTGGCGGCGCCCGGGCGGGCGGGAGCTGCAGCCGCCGTCCCGCCCGCAGGACTGGGACTACACCTACGTGCACAGCTTCTACCACTGCGCCCTGGCCATGTCCTTCGCGCTGCTGCTGCCCAAGCTGAACAAGAAGGCGGGCGGCGCGGGCGCCCCGGCCAAGCTGGACTGCTCCACGCTCTGCTGCGCCTGCGTCTGACTGCGCCCCCCGCCGGCCGGCCGGCCAGTGGGGAGGGCCTTCTGGCCCGGGACGGGGCCGGCCACCGCTCCTCCCCGCCAGCCCCGCCCGCGCCCGGGGCGAAGGCGCTCGCCAGTCTGTCCCGCGAAGGGCCCTGCTGTCCAGCGTCTCTTGGTCCTTCTGCCTTGCCTCACTGCCCGCCAGGCCCTCCGTTTTATTAGAAATGCCTGCACCCCTCTTCTGCACGTCCGAGCCGCACCCCAGCTCCCCTCGCCCCGGGGGCCGTCTGGGCCCGTCCGTCCTCGCTGTTGTAAACAGTCCCACAGACGCCCTGGACAGCCGCGGGGGGCCAGGCGCCCGCCCCCCCGGCTTCTGCTCAGCAGGCAAATAACCGGCCAGCCTCAGATGGGTGAGGGGAAGCGAAGGGAAGGCCAGCAGTCACCGGCCACCGAGGGGCATCGGGCGCCGCCGGCGCTCCCCGAGAGCCGCGGCCGACACCTCAGCCACTCAGCTGAGCCCCTGGGGGGCTGGGGGCCGCGCTGGGGGCCCCAGCTACACAGATCGCATCTGAGGAGAGAGGAGTTAGGGAGTGGGGCTCTCCTGGCGCACCCCGCCACGCAGAGACTGACATGGTCACGCCTTTTTGAAAAGCGCCCAGAGCCGCGTGAAGTCAGCCTGTCCCAAGGCCGCACGGGGAGCAGGCGCGTGCTGCAGAGCTGGCCCGGCCCGCGGGCTTCTCCGCCCAGAAGCCCCAGCCCATCGGGCTGAAAGCTGCCCGCTCCGGTCCTCCCCACGGCCTGTCTGCACGCTGGTGCCGCCGTCTCTGTCCCGTGCCCGCAGCCTGGAAGCGCCCCTCAGCGGGCGGGGCTGGGGCCCTCTGGCCGGCCGCCAGCTCCTCGGCTGCCCTTCCTGGCGCTCCCCACGGAGCCCCGCGG